CGATTCCTTCCTCTCCGCAAAAAGTATCGCTAAAAATCGTCTATCTTTTATTATTTCCCCTTCACTTCATTTTTATACAGTCCATTTTTTAAGGCGGCAAAATTTCTTCCCCAATAAGTGAGTTCACTTTTCGATATAATTTTTTACACCCGCTCGTAGTGTGTAGCGCTCGAGAGGCCACCCCGTTGAATAAAACATTAGATATGTAAACTTCTTCTGTACCAATTTACTTTTTTATGTCTACCATTTCGGTTTGAACGCGAAATGGGAATAACAGAATCAATCAAAACGTTGCTTTTCACCAGAAGATAATACATGACAAATTTTCTTATTTACAACATGCGCCACGAAAGATTTGACTATAAAAAAAGCTCTTCTTGGTGCCGAATTTTAACGTTTAAGCGAAATAAACATTGAAAGCTACTCGCGGTTAATGCTTAACCAAAAGTCCGCTGTGGTATACGAAGCGAATAAGTTTGGATAGACGTGCTAATGGCCAACTAGTGAGGGAAGTAAATACGCCGATTTAACTCTCTGTAGTTTTCAGCCACACAAGACAGAGACGATTTAGAGATTAACTATTTATGTTCAAGGATCGTTACATCACGCTGTACGAAGCAGAGCACCTTTTAGTTAGCCCGCTTTGGGAACTAAACGAAATATCCTGATACCCACATAACGCTTAAAAAGGTCCTTCTCATTGGCCGTGAAAATTAAGTTTAAAAATTGCCTTCTGGGTAAGCAAGATTACATTTTCATTTCTATCTAATTAAACCTTTACTTAGATACTTCTTTGCCCTTAATCCCCACCCACTCCCTCTTTAAGCGTTGTCGGTTCCCCTCAGTTAATCTAATGCTAAATTGTGCCATATGTCCGACATCCTTATCCCTTTGTTACTAAACTTATTTCGCGGTATGATTTTGTTGGCAGCGGTTAAATAAATAAAATTTACAATGACTAATGCGCAGTGTATACAAATTACATAAAAAAAATCCTCGTTAAAAAAAAGATATATGTCTATGTATAGTGTATCTTCAGTAGTATCACAAAAAAGAAACAGATTTTTAGAAAAGAGAAAAAGGAAGAAAAAGAGTTATTCATTGTAATGAATATCTACTCTCATTAAATGCTGCAATTCTCTGTTTTTTTTGTTTTTGAAAGAATTAGTACTTGTTGCGTCTTCCGATAAGGAGTTCCAGGTTATACAATACTCTGTTACACAAGAAGTTTTTTCTCTGTAGTTTGGCAGTCTTTTCTTTGATTAATTTTTTGGAGTGACCTCGTAGATTGATATTCGGGTTATTTTGAAAGATGTTCAGTTCACATGAGCAATAGTTTTGTAACATCTTGTAAGTCTCAGTTAGATCGCCACGTAGTCTTCTCTCTTTCGAGATTGTTAAATTCAGCTTTATAAGTCTTTCCTCGTAGGATTCATTAGATAAATAGATGGGAAGTTTCAATGTCTTTAATAAAGTAGGGATCCCATATTGCCTGACCATATTCTAATTTTGGACGAATGAAACATTGCACTTCTCTTCGTTTACGTTCCATTTTCCATTTTTTCGACCAAATTTCTATCATTGTTCTATCAGGCCTCTGTGAAGGTCATCATAGTTGTCAGTAGGATTCGCATAGGGTTTTGTATCATCTGCAAACAGTGTGATTGAAGTTTTGATGTTTTGACTTATGTCGTTTACATAAATTAGAAAAAGCAACGGAGATTTTGCGGAACTTTTTCAAAAGCCTTTTCGAAATACAAATAAATTATATCAACTTGTCGATTTTTGTCGTAGATTTTCGTCCAGTCATTTTGTTAAGTTCGTGATAGTTGATCTCCGAGGTAAGAAACCATGTTGACACACTGATATAGTATTATTATTTAAAAAGAAAGAAAAGATTTTTTCCATACATTTACATGAATGATATGTTAAGCTATTTGGTTATAATTGCTTTCTATGTGCTTATCGCTTTTCTTGTGTAATGGCGTTACAATAGAAGATTTTCAATGTTCAGGTAATTTGCCATTTTCTAGTGCTTCATTCATTATATTCGACAAAATAGTGCTTATACTACTAGAACATAAGACTGGTATATTATCAGGACCTGAACTGGCATCAGTTTTTAAATTCTTCAGAGCCTCTTTCACTTTTTCAGGTGTAAAATTAATGGACGTCATCTCTGCAATAGAACAATAGGTCTCCATCATTCTCCTTTATAAACACTGTGTCACATTGTTTGGAAAATTTTTCATACATTAGATAATCACTCGACAGCGCTTACCCATTTTCATCATTTAAAGTAATAGTGGATACTATTGAGTTTAATGCTCGGTTTATATATTTAAAAAATTTATTATTGTTATCTAAAATACAGTGTCGCCACTGAACTCTGCATCATACTGAAACATTTTTCATTAATAAGTTTCGGCAAATTTTGATTATCTGCAAATAATAATAAATCAATTGAAGTAAAGATAATATAATACATAATATTCCCATATAATAATGACTTTGGGACTTTGGGGTGACGCTCTGTATAAATAAAATACCAGACATAGACAATTAATGAATACTTAGCTTCCACAACAAGAACACAATCCATTTATAACCAATTCATCCCTATGATATAATGATATTTCTAGAATAATATTCCTTTTTCTGACGTTTAATACATTATGGGTGTTATAGATCTTTATAGTGGACAAATAATTATTTTTAAATAGCAGACACTTTTAGTTGATTTGAGTTATATATATCAACTAGATATTTAAATATACGGTCTCAATTATTATAATGAAAACTTCATCAACTTCATCAACAACAAAAAATGATTGAAACTTCACCCTTTTAAGTTGATTTTGATGAAATTCTATTAAAAAAAGATTTTTTTCACGCTTGTTAACAAAACCTAAAATTTAAAAACACAGACGAATCGTTCTTTGTGCTATATACAAATTAACGACCAATTAGGCCTAAAGATGTGTTTCAATTAAATTCATGGACACATAGAACGAACTGTCTATACTAAAACCAATAATATGCGATGCAGTAATAAATTCGTTCCTATTTTAGACACAAATCCGGTTTGTTGTATTTTACAAATTCCCAATATTTCCATCCTAATCTCACTTTTTAACGAACGCGTGAAATTTTCAAGAATTTTTCAACTAAAATTGAAAAATGAGACAGCGTTGGAGAACGGTTTTAATAAGCTTTGCAAAGCGGAAGCAGTCGACCCCTCATTCCATTTAAGATTTTAAGGATAGATGTCACCTCCGTGTAGGGTTTGAATTGAGGGAGTTGAAAAGCATTGGCAAATTATTTCCTCCTCGAAAACAAACTTGACGTGTTTGGTCCTTTTTTCCCTATCAAAACAAGAAATGCGTTTAAATTATCTTCTTTTCTTTTCGCTAAGACATCTTGCACAATGATTATAAGTGAACGCCAAAAACGTATATTCAATAGTAGTCGAAACATTTTACCTGGATAGGGTTTTGATTTAAGTGAGTTATGACATTAGCCAGTAGAAAGCTAGTAATTTATTTGTTAATTATCTTTAACCCGTATAAATTTTTCTTCTCGGCCAACAAGCTCAATCGCAATAAATCTAAAATACAGAGAAATGTTTGTTCTTTACATGAAACATCTTTTAATGCTCCTTCAAGATTTTGTTTGCCACTAAACTGATCTTCGGACCACCTATTGTTTGTCCCAGGGTTTATTCTGCTACTCAAATGACATGCACAGGTGATCTATAAGGAACATGACGCAATTAGAATATAGGGATGAGGAGAAAGAAAAGTCTTGAGATTTTCAAATATTATTGCCATAGTCTGTCTCATTGTGCGTCGTTAAAAGATATAGATTAGAAAACAGATCCATAATTTACCTTGATGAAACATGGTTCGATACTGTTTTACGTCTTTTAAAGCACATTATAAAAATAAAAAATAAATAATAATAAAAAAATAAATAATAAATTATAAAAATACAAAACAACAAAAATCCTATTATAATTAATTTCAATGACGACTATGATAGTGAAACAGAATTAGATTTAGACATTTAAAATAAAAAAGTAATTATTTGTAGATATTCCTAGATATGAATTTATTGTATATATTTAATGTCATTGTGAAGATTGAGACAGACTAGACAAATTTAAATGTTTCAAATTACCGGACCCTACTTTATTTTTTTAAATGGAGCACTCTGTATATTTGTAGACTATAAGATTAATCTTTTTTTTACCTTTTCAAAAATATATGGTATGCACTTTGTTTAATCTTGTATATACATGTATAATAATATTCGTTATACAAACAACGTCGCAAATAGTATAATCGCTGCGAATGCTGTTTTTTGCGGTTAGTTTTTATTTCGATTTTTTATTATTATTATTTATATATTTAATGTCATTGTTTTTTCGTAGTGTAACTTAATAAGATTATACGCAACAAAAAAAAAATTATTACCAAAACGTTTGAGAGTACGTCCCTAATGATCTGTCCCTTAATACCTATCGGATCCATGTTTAAATGCGGTCGGTAGGTAACTTCCATTAAAACAGACTATACCTTAATATTATTTCTATTTGGTATGGACATTTGCTAAAAAGTACCGGCATCCTTTTCGCAATCATCGGACTAGAAATAGAAACGACAATTTAAAAATCGCTACGGGCCGAAGTTTTTAATTTGTTGCCTCATAGTATCAGAGAATTGCCTGAAAGGGAACATTTTAATCGATGTTAATGTTTCGTTTTATTTCATGTTTATTATGTTTGCGAGAGTGGAAATTTCCTTTTGCCGAAGTTTTTATTGCAAAAATCCAGTAATATAATTTCACAGGTAACAGGCAGTTGCGTTCTTAAAGCAGAAAGCCCGTCGGCTACAATTTATTAAATTTTCTCTAAGTGACGCGAAAGCATCTTTAAGTTAATTTAGAATATGCAGCTTCCATAATAGCTTGTCTGCCATGATCACACTTTACGTTTGCAGGTACAGAGGAGGCAACGTAATTAATTACTCGCAAAGGGGTGGGATCAACGTTGTTACCGAGAAACAAACACGCACCAGCCGTCTACTGATCTCTCGAGCCACCCCTGAAGATAGTGGCAACTACACGTGTTCTCCTAGCAGCTCGGATGCGGCAAGCGTCCTGGTCCACGTTCTCCAAGGAGAAACGCCAGCAGCCATGCAACACAGCGCCGTGATACACTGCTCTATAGATTTTACACTGTTAATATTACTCTTGTGTTTCATCTTTGTCAGGTGAATCGTGAATGTTACCTAGTCACTTTTGCAAATTGATATCCGTCGGACCACGCGCATTGACTCGAGCTATTTCCTTTCAGTTTAGTCTTGTTCATGTCGTTACGAACCTTTTCAAGTGTCCAATTTAATTTCATTTTATAGCCACGAGATAAGAAAAGCCATTCTTCGCATACACCGGTTTTCCACATTTCGGGAAAAATTCAACCGTTCTGCCGAACCCAATTTTTCACAGAACCGCGTTTGAAAATGTCACGAATCACCCTGTATTTTACAATAAAATTGGCGCTCGGTAACATTAATTCTACACGAACTAAGTACCTACTAAGCCCTTATCTCAGATTCTGGAAAATATATCTAGAAAAAAATATCTAGAAACAAAAGTTATTTAAATTTACTTGGGCTTTTAAAATATTATATTAGGGTGTATTTTCGTGGACAAGGAACAACTCTCATATTTTAAATAAAAGGTCCTGTATATTAACGCATTTTTAAATTGCTCTAAACAGATTTCATTTATACCTACAATTATTAATCTTACTTCAAAATTGATGCTTAACACGTATATCAATTTCTGCGGGCTTTTAGAAAGGGGCCTACTTTAATTGACTGCGTTTATATTTTTAAAATAAATAAAAACAGAGCTATCAAAAAGTGACATTAAAAATTTAAATTAAAAATATCGTTCAAAGTCATTTTTTTCAAATTGAAACTTTGAAAATCTGAACTTTTAGTTCTTATTTATTTTGTTAAATGGATTTTCATGAAGTAAAAGCCACCTCACCACCAACTAAACAATGGAGAAAATAAAACAAATTTATTTTATTATTTGTTGTATTATTGTTGTTTACCAATCTGGATATTTTTCAACGAATATCCAAACGTTCTTCACAAAATTTGTATAATTTTGAGAACTAAAACCAGTTTAAAAACTTGTCAAAAGACAGTAAACAATATTATTATTATTTATTTATTTCTGCCATGTTTCGTCGTTATATTTCTGAACAATAAATGATTTCTTCATTCCAATTTATTGAAAGTAGACGTGATTCTGTAAGGAAAACAACCCCAAATATATAATACACATGACAAAACTAAGGCAAAAGTTTATAATTAAAAACTGCCTAAATAATAATTAGAAAGTTGTGAAAATACAAACATCATATATATTTTAATACTTTAAAAGTATAAGTGAATCCAAACAACTTTTGTCCTTTATTTTTTCTATATTTTTTTATACTTTAAACATCTGTGTGATTCGTCGCATATAAAGATACAGCAAGGTGAAAAATCTGGGATTGGGATTTGCGACCCGCGATTGCTACGGTTTGATCAAGCCGCAACAATGGCAAAACAGAGTGGGGCCGGCCTTATCTCGTTAATGTTCGGTGCTACAGTTCAATGTATATAATCACATGTGCTAATTCAAAACCGTAATACCTGTGCTTTAACACCTGAAAATCTTCTCTGAATATCTCGCGCATTGTAACGACATGAAAAGAGCTATACAGTTTATGCGATTCGATTTCTGAAGCCGGCAACATTTATACTTGATGGTCAATTTGGGCGTGTGAAAATTTAGAGCAGTGTTGAATTTTTTTATCCGTGCTATGCAATTTTTCTTATGTTACCAGACGTGTGTTAAGATAGAAGGTAAGTGTTAGAAGGTAGGGTTAATATTTACTTATTGCGCAGGGCGTTTCCAATGTAAAGTAACGAATTAAAACGAGAGATGAAGATGAGAGAACCTTACTAGTTTTTATTTGTGATATACATATGCAGATTATTTTGCATCTGTATAGCAAAAATAGGCCTAAATAAATATAAGTATAATAGAATTTATGCAAATGGAGAAATAAATCATATTGTGACGTAGCAAGGCATTTTGGGCGTCTAGATGAGGTATATTTTTTAGCTCTAAAGAAATATCTTTATCGCCTTAAGTGAAGAATCTCTTAAATAATACGTGTTACTTTTTTGCATTATAGATACCCAGGAAAGATACAGCAAAGCACAATTAAGCTCTCTTTTTTACACACCTTGGAATGTTTTTTACAGTATTCAAGTATTCATTAGAAAAAATGTCCATTTCCGTCAATTTGATAATAAAACTAGCCCTATTTACAGTTAAGGTTCGTGTTCAGTGATTTTTTCCCATCCTATGCCTTTTTTGAAAAACATATTTATTTTATAATTGGTTTCATGAAATGCAGGGGGGTGGGGGGCAGTGAACTTTACACTTGGAAAACCCTGTAGTCGTAAAAATCTTCGTTACTTTTGCTTCGGCCTTTAAATAAACTTTTTGTTTTTCGCCATGTCCTGTTAGTCTGTACATAGTTGCTTTTGAAATGAATAGAATTAACATTGTAAATAAACTATCCTTATGTCTAAATAAAAGTTCGGCTTTTTAGTAAAACATGAACCAATATGCTGCTAAATAAGGTAAACATAATTTCATATGTAATTCATAAAACCATAATTATGCATTGCTTGGTTCGCTCCTTGATAGCACCAAAAGTCTGCTTATTAAAAAGACTAAAAATTGCAGGCCGATGAAAAGCTGAGACATTTAAATTTGTTTAAATTATAAAAAAATATATAATTTATAAGAAAACAACGAGATTTCAGTTTTCATGTTGCTGCTGCCCAAAATTATTATTAATTATAGCAGTTTTGCGGTTTTATTTTAAATCTGCCCTGTTATTTTTACGATACTGCAAACACAATGAAACTTTTGCTGCTCTTGCCTAAAAAAACATAATGATGCGAACTATTTTGTTTTACCCAAATATCCCAAGAAGAATATAAAACGTAAGCCTTCTTTGTCGCATATGAATCTTGTTATTATAAATTTTTAATTAATTAAGTCAAGTCTAAATAATAACACACTTGTCTGCTATATTTTAGTTTCCACCCCCAGCTACGGATTCTTTTCCTTTATTAGAACTAATAACAGTAATAAAGATCAAGAAAGCTCAAATAAAAGAATTTCATCTCGTGATCAAAAGTAAAGTTAAAACTTTTTTAAGATATTGCATGTTTTCTGTAATTGAAGTATAATCTCAATTTAAAAGCAGAAACTCATTTTGCTCGCACTAGATATCTGAAATAAGGTCATAGCAACAAGCCACGACCCGCATATATGTAAAAAAAACTACTCGAAATGGCAAAAAAAAGATGGAAAACATTCCCTTATTTTTACGACTGGAGATACATACATAAATGGCGATTTTATTCCGTTTTGGTTTAAATAAATCCCGGGGAAAAAAAGCGCCCCAAGCAAAATATGTTCTTTATTTTTTATTGCATGTAAAATAACAGTCAGATTCATCTAGTTTTGCGTGTGATACGCTCGTTTATTTCTTAACGCCCTGTGTAATTATTTAACAGTTGAAAGTCCGATGATACAGTCGAAGGTGGAAGGTAGAAATATATTTGCTTTCCGAATGATTGTAGAAAATATTGCCTGGGGGAAAAAATCAACGCGATTTAAAGTTGCATCATGGGCAACGATTCAATAGGGGAAATTCCGCAAGCCCGCAGGTAACCCCGATGTAAATATCTGACATTCCCTCAGAAAACCCCTGATTCCGCGGAAAAGGAAAATAAACGCGCGATTGTTATTGCGGAGCGTGTGTTTTCTTACGATCCGAAGAATTTTATCGCGTATCTAAAATGTTAATAATAAACGTAAATCTTTGAATTACTTTTGAATTCAGGAAAAATTAGGCCGTAGTCTAATTATACAGCTTAATTTTTTTTTAATTACCGAACTAGTTTTTCATGAGGAATTTAATGGTGCAACTCATTCCAGTGAAATTTTATAATAACAATATGTTTTCACCAACAGCTTGGTAGAATCAAGTAACAATATAACAAAACACAGAAAAACTACATTATTAAAAAAAAACAAATTTTTAAAGGTAATTGACAACCATTTTAGCTAATGCAAAAAATTAATATTGAGTGCATATGTATCTTTCCATCTTTGAGAAAAAATATTATTAAGAAATTCCCTTAGGAGCCTAGATCTCGCTATAGGTAAACAGCATTATATTGTGCCAATGGAATATTTTAAAACAGTTCCGGAATAACCTCCTTAATCTACGTGAAACATGACGCCCCAACTCCAAAGTGCCATTTCAAACGTTAAGTGTTAATTATCACAAAGACACTTTGTGGTATTGTGACGATCAAAAATGCCCTTGAGAAAAAGCATTCATCTGATTTGACGCAAATATTCCACGGATACCAGCACATCCTGAAACATCTAAAGTCTGCCGAAGATTAAACAAAGTACATACCACATATCTTTGAAAAGGTAAAAAAAAAAGACTAATTTTATAGTCTACCAATATACAGGGTGCTCCATTTAAAAAAGTAGGGTCCGATAACTTCAAACATTTAAATTTCTCTAGTCTGTCTCAATCTTCACAATGACATCAAATATATACAATAAATTCATCCACACAGTGTCGTGTGTATCGTGTATCATCAAGATAAATTATGGGTCTGTTCTCTAATTTATATCTTTTAATAACTTGAACATAATTAAATCACCATGTGTGTAATTCAATTACTACTTGCCTTTTGTTTATTATGTGGTACTTAAATCCCATTTTACAAAAAACTCTATGGAGGATGGCACGGCTTATATTTATATTGGTTTCACCTTCTTCTAGTTTCTTTTTTAGTTGATCCTAGGTAGGAAAAACTTCCCTTTGTTAAAGGCAATGTATTTTCCTTCTTCTTAGGTCCTGATCATAATTTTCTACATGGTGAATTTGAAAATCACTACGTTTACTCATTTTCTTCAATTCTCCACTATTAATAATATCCGTTATCGACGATATTGGCGTTTTTGTGGGTAGAAAGGTTTCTTTTAAAGCTTGTCACTCAAGTAAGAATATTTTTTTTTGTTAATGGCTTTACCCAATAACAATAGGTAATAAAATCGTTAAAAGTTTTATTGGGGAGGGTCCGTAGAAAAACAACACGATGAAGATTGAGACAGATTATACATATATAACTGACTACATCCCAATGTTTATAGTCTAAATTTTACATAAAACTTTAACTTAAAAAAAATGTGCTGAAAAAACTAACCGCATCATCATTTTTCCTTTACAATTGTATTTTAAGTCTGCTGTCGAGACAATAGAAAATGATAAAGCATACCAATTAAATTAAGACAAATACCGTACAACTGTTGTCCGGAAAATGCTTATTAATAATTCCTCTCACCTTAATTTTTATTATTCCGCTACAAGCGTTTAAGTGAGAGCCGCCGCTTTGGCCTAGCATTTAGTACAAAGATGACAGGCCATTCCCGGTTTTTAATTAAATTTTTAATTTAGGGTATCGTGAATGGGCCCAAAATTGGATAAAAAAAAACAATTTTCTCTAGTACTGATATCAAAAGAAAAAAAAACTACTGAAAATAAAAGATGCGTTTATTTACCGCCCCGATCAGTGTAACTTAATAATTAATTCGATATGAAAAAGTTGGTATGAGAGGAAACTACTTAATTATTTATTAAACCATTTGAATATAATTAAGGAAGCTCCAAAATTATTGCAAAATTTAAAAGAATGGTGGATACTTTTGTCCATTTAACGAAATGTTTGTTTTAAGCATTGTGTCCTTACTTACTACAATAGCGTAAAAAGAACGTGTAAAAAGTATGTTGTTAGATACTTAAACAGACCCCCAAAGAGCAATTTTCTTCTTCTCTTTTCTCTTCTTTTACACCTTACGGGATATCATTTTTATACTCAGAGAAGAAGAGAGAGAGAAAATACTATTCGCGCTCAGCTGGGACACATATCTGATCACTCTTTAACTTTTTGCGTAATGCAAAGTGGTG